CTTATGGGAAAACAAATCCAATAGAATATTGTGGGTCAGTCTCCATGGCAAACAATGTGACCCTGAGGAGGTGTTTTTCTTCTTTATCAAATTGTTAAAAATTCACAGAGGATTGTGAAAATGTCATAAAGATGCTTAAATCTCGTCCTTAGCCTCTGGTGAGCTGAACAGCCCTGAAGAACGTCGGTGCGTGGAGGAGTGCTGAGCCTGCGTTGAAGGTGCGCGAACAACAGTAATCAGTGTCCTCTCGTCCACATATGTTATGGAGTGAGCAGTGAAGATTCTTTGGCTTTTGTCATCAGAGATTAAAAACTTTCCTGAACTTTGTTGGTTTGTTTTAACTGCATATGAGCAATAGTCCCAATAATATCCTTTACACAAGTATTTGACATGGTGTGTGTACTTTGGCTCATAGAGACATGGGATAGAGATGGAGCCTCCAGCCTTCACTGACACTTTACTGACTGTAGTTATGCTGTGAATTCCTGCAACAATACAAATACAGATTAATGGATATATTCTCCAACAATGTTATTTCTTAACAAGTCTATTGTAGATGTTATCATTAGTTGTTTCATGTACTAGCTCATTATAGTCTCCAAACTCTATGAAATAAAAACTAGAGGTTATTACTTGTCTAACAAACGGTTATATACAAATATATATATATATATATAAGACATACACACAATTATAAAATTATTTATGTGACTGACCTGTGAGTCCAGTGAGGATAAGAAGAATGCTGAGGTGAAAAGCCATGTTCGTAAGTGAGCAGTGGAAACAACACGCACCAGTGCACTGCATAACTGACCCATTACTTCCTAATTTTCCTAATCGCAGCATTTCAAACTGGTCTTCCTCCTACTGTAAGAAAGTTGCCTCACATTGGTTAAATTGTGTATATAAATATCTATGCAGCTAAAGCATACTTTCTGAATACCATTTACTGTAGACTGGGTTCCACTAAATATAACATTTCAAGATCAGCATACATAGCACATAGAAAACATTGCAGAAACACAGAATGGTGATGACACTGGATCGTTGAAATCACTGGAAACGGTATATCTACAGACATTTCCTACACTTAATTTCTTTACTGCAGAATTGCCTGGCTTTAAGGCTTTTCTCTTTTTCTCTCTTAAACATTATAAAGTGTTACTTCCTCTTCAGCCTGTGTTAAAGGAGCTAACTAAATGTGAGTGGACTCTCTAACCTTGCTCTATGCAGTCGTATGCAAAATACATAAATTAGAACACCACTATTAAAAATATGCTCGTAGGCTTTTGTTGTCAGAGCAAATCCAATGTCAGAGGACTGAAAAGGCATTGAATTTTGAAATAAATTGTTTATATTAGAACATGTTATTACTATGTTTGCTAAAATAGTAACCATTTTTATACAGCAAATACAACATGATCAAAGGAACATTAACTAAACTAAGCTTGAATATCTGTACACAATTTCCTGGTAATACATTAAGTAAATATACAGATATTTGAATGAATGAGTGAAAAGTTTGACCAATTGATCGAGCTTCGTGAAAAAATTAAGGCGCTAACCAAAGTCATTAGGATTCTTAGGGTTTACTTAAAACCGAAAAGGGACAGTACACTGTGTGAAAATATTACACAATATATGATTCTCTCCAAAATGTATCATAAATAAAGAATGATGCAACATGTAGCTCAGCAGCATGGTAGCCATGGGCAATAATAGACCTGGCCAGTAGAGGGAAGTGCTGAGTTGCTAATGAACCAAAATCTGCTGTTGAAGAGTGAATAGACTGTTCCAGCTTCAGAGATGTCAGTTAATATATTGACATAGCGTTTCTGTTGGCCAGTTTTGTACTACATTGTAATATGCATATTGTAAGGTCAGCAGTAAAGTTTTCATATGAGTAAGATATTTACATGTTTATTCTAATTTTATTGGGTTCATTTTATACAGTAATACTGATTCTGAGGAAGGGAAGCTACCAGGACAACCGTCTAAAAATGTTTTAACATTTCGAATTCAGTGGAAATAGTTGCTTATTTGGTGTTATAGAATGTGATGAGGATAATCAACGGCTTTAATGATAAAAGACACAGGAAGGGGATGCAATCATATCTGTTACAATCTTTCTTCCGCCTAAGTAAGGCAGTTGCATTACATAAGTTGACTGATGAAGTAGTGCATGCAACCACAAGCTCTTTTGAGTATGTAATTAAAGGATTATACACCGTAAGTAGCCCATCCATCTATAGTATCCACTCATCTATCTGATATGGATATTCTTCACAATATCTGGCAACCTATGGGGATACTGGATGATCTTTGATAAAAATAAAAGAATGAGATAGTCAGGTACAGTGGCAGAAAATAGAGGATTTTGTTAAAACATTGTGAGGAGAGGCTTAATAAGGGGTAAAAAACATTTCCTTAATTGCAAAGACAAATTCCCCACCACACACCATCATCTGTAGAGGTTTTATATCACCTGGCTTACCTTCTACAGTGTTTATGAGTTTGTACAATGGTGGCATAAAGCACTTCAGGTTGACACTTTTTGTAAGCCCTATAACAGATTTATTTGAAACATAAGCCTTTTCCACAGGAGAAAACACACTTATTTTTTACTTTAGAGCTCAAAATCAATCTGTGTAATTTTTTTGTTCTGTGTTTTTTGTTTGTTTCAAAACTGTTTTTGTGTTTTCTATTTCAAAAGAAGAAGGGAAATAGCAACAAAAAAAGGGAGGTTGTGAAATTGGCAAAATTTTTACTTCATGCAAGGACAGTCCCTGGAAGTTCCATGGTGATTTGCAAAAATACTGAAGGTGGCTGCATAGGGCTCTTACTTCCACGGTGTCCTGCAATTGCACACCCGAGGCATAGTCATTTTAGTTACTGTTTCTAACGGATTGGTACAACCCCATTTCCAATGAAGTTGGGACGTTGTGTAAAACGTAAATAAAAACAGAATACAATGACTAGCAAATCCTTTTCAACCTATATTCAATTGAATACACTACAAAGACAAGATATTTAATG